TTAAATTTTAATTAATTTAAATTTAATTCATGATTTATTTTAATTAACATTGCTCATGAATATTTAATTTGTTGAAGGAAAACTTTAAAATATTTAACTTATTTTAATTTTGTTAATAAACAAACTAAAACTTGATGCAATATGCAGGAAAATTAAATTAGTTTTGCTTCCATCCTTTTCCATTAAATTAACAATTGAATGCATTAAATGGAAAAATATATTTTAAAAAACTTCTAGGAGCAGAACCAGTCACGAACAGTTCTGAAAAGTTTTAATTTTTTATTAACATTAGAAGTTTAGTTTTATTTTATTTCAACTTCAATTTTTGTTTTTTTTTTAGTTTTCTAAACGACGGACGTTCCTAGTAAAAGTGGAAAATTTCACTTAAATTTATATGCTCCTCTAACAATCAAACACTCAATAGTATTTGAGAAACACTGATACAAATGCCATTACTGTTAAAAAGTGCTAACTAACTTCACTAAAAACATGGCATGAATATTAAACAAAGTCTATAAATGAGTTACCAGAAGATTTTCCATCCAGATATGTTTAGGTCCAAAACTACGAATTGTTTTAAGCATTTCCAATTTTAAGCGGTATCAGTAAGTTAATTCCTATAATCAATATATATATATATATTTATTAATAATAAATTCTTTTTGACATTTTAGGTTGGAAAGTATAACACACGAAAACAGAGTTCTATTACAAAAGTAACGGAATTTGGAATAAAATAATGGAATCAACAGAACAGCTACATTCTAATTATTTTTAGATGAAATGTATGATATACGGAACTAATGACATATTATAAAAGAAAAGAAAGTAATTAAAATTCAATATAACCACCAGAAAATGAAAATATACAGTAATAGAATCACCAAAACACCTGCATTTAATAATATGGTAATGGAATCATCAATGGATCTAAATTTCCGATATTTTTAAATTTGAACATACTTAATACTAAAACAAAGGTCTTTTCAAAAATAAAAAATATAATAAAATTTTAATAATATAAAAAGTACGGTTTTGGATCAGTTGGTTAAGGTGTGCTAATTCTGAGCTTCACATTTGACAGAACCCGAGTTCGATTCCTGGTACTTACAGTCTCAAAAATAATTATTTACGAATAATTAAAAACAAGAATTTTTTCCAAGGCCACTGATGATGGGTATTTGGCAATACTCGAAACAGTTGTATAGTCAGCCAAAAATTCAATTAATTAAAATAATATAAAAATAGAATTTTTGTTGTTGTAGTTCACTACAGTTCAAAAAACACCTCTTTATAAAATTTGAATAAAATCACAAGAAACTATTAATTAAAATTATTATTGTGGAAAAGAGACTTAAAAGATCTATTGTGCCCCTTGATCGGATAAGAGTGTTTCTCCAAGTCCGATTGCTTTAAAGAAAGACAATATAGGGTCTATTTTTTCTAGTTATGAATTCTTATGTTCTATGAAATACCCTCTAAGGTGCATCTTCCGCTTGTGCATCAGAGCCGGGTACTTCCCTAGCACATGGTATGCGGTTTTACTTTCTTCTGCATTCCTAATTTTGTTATGTGATTGTTCAATCTATAGCGACCGGTTATAATTCTTAAGTTATTCTTTGTTTGTGCTATGCAATCTTTGAAGCGTTTTAGGTTGTCAGTTCCTAAAAGTATTTTAGTCTTAGTAGCTTTTCCCAATTAAGTGCTCTTTCTTTTTCTCTGCGCCGTTCAAAAGAATGGATAGAGGATCTGTCATTATTAAAGCGCACCTCTTCATGCAAGTTTATCTAACATTTCATTGCCTTAAATATCAACATGTCTCTGAATTCATATTAAGTGAACCTGTTTGTTCCAGCCAAGAACGTTCAGCTCTCAATGCACTTCCATACCAGTTTGACTGTTATCAAGTACTATAATTTAATTTATATATAATTCTACAACATACAAAAATAAAGTTCTAATACAAAGTAAGGAAAATAAAAATATGAGCATCATCCGAACAGAGTCCTTATTATAGAGAAGAAGAAAAGAAAATAATAAGATGATGATAGAATTGGAAGATATTTAATATTAAAAAAAGTCTCATTGCAAAAATTATTACTCATATTCATACTATTAATATATAATTTTATATAATTTTAGGTCAGAAGTTACAATATACAAAAATAAAGCCATTCTACAAAAAGAAGGAAAATAACAAAAAGGAAGCAGAACACCCACATTTTAGTTACTTTTAAATCAAAAGGTATATTATACCTTATTATATTCTTATTACAAAAGAAGAAATGAAAGTAATAAGATGATAATAAAAAAAACTATCAAAACGAAATGTTGCAATTCTTTTCTTCTAATTAGTGACTCCATTATTATTCTAGTCTCAAGACTCAAAGAAACATCATTACTTCTAGAATATTATATACAAATACTTGCTATAATATAAATAATACATATTATTTAAAATTTTTCAAATAATACGGAAACTAATCAAAGAGAAAAACATTTTTAATTATACAACCATAGAAAACTTTTCTTATATGAAGAATAAAACTTTAAACAAAACACAATGAATAACTTAACTTAGCTTTTGTGGTGTTGGAAACTTTTTATCGAAACTTTGTTTAGCGACAAACTTTATAAACATTTTCCTCAAATGTCAACATCAGCAACCATGTTTCTGGGTGCGTGAGCGTGCTTTAAAGTTTAAACGTTTTTGAAACAAAATATTGTGTTTGTATAGTATTTTGTAATTCTATATTTATATAAATCTATTTAAATATGTATATATATAAATATATCTATATATATATATATATATGTAACACGCTTTATGTGGAGCGTGTGCTTAACTTTCTGCAATTTCATGCCAAAGATTTGTAACTGATTGCAAGCACTTTGTGTCTGCTGCTTGATAAATTGTAAAACTTTTCCAATTGCTTTTATGTAGTCACAACAATGGTTGGCTTATTGTCTTATCAGTAAGGAACTGACACATAACTTTAGAATTGCGTTGAATAAACAATGAATGAATATCATATTACATAAAAACTCTTTTCATAAATAAATAAATTTAATTAACTGAAAACTCACCTTTTTGTTATGCGTGGACGCAGTGGCCACATGATTGCAATGTAACGATCTATGCTGATAGCAACCAATGTGTAAGCGCTCACCAGTACCGATACCGCTTGCGAATAGTTGACCAGGTAACAAAGTGCTATGCCGAATGGCCAATAGCCGAGTATGAAAATAGATACAAACGAGAATGGTACACAAAATAGTGACATTAGTATATCGCCGACAGCTAAATTTGCTATAAAAAAATTCGTCACTGTACGCATGCGTGGTGTTGACTGCACAATGTAGCACACTAAACCATTACCGAGCAGAGCAAAGACAAATATAGGTATATAGAGTAGATAGACGGCTGTCTTAAAATAAACACTTGACAATGGCGACTCATCTGTGACATTTGCTTCACTCAACGTTTCGCCATCACAGGAAAAGTTCAAATAGTCATTGTAGCCTTTAAGGAATGTTTCGTTGCCAATGATTGCTTCATTGCCGAATGCACCATAATGACGTGCAACTTCAGCACCAGCCACTGCTAAAGCTGAATTCGTAAAATTGTCAATTGTGTTGCTTGCAACATTTGTAAGCATTAATACTGTGGATGTGTCATTGTAGGTTGTTTTGTATGTTGCAACAGCTGCAGTCAAGGCATCATTGTCCTGCAGGTAATCACTATTATTGAGCAATTGTTGTTGTTGTGCAATAAAATAAAGTTTACTGCTGTCTACATCAATATCAGCAATGCTACTACTACTACTACTGCTGCTGCTACTACTGCTGCTGGTTGTGGCCTTATCCAGTTGTTGATTCGCTTCGGTTGCAGTCAAGTGTGGTAACATGCTGCGAGCAACATATTCACGTACAAACTGTTCCATAACGTTTTATTTTTTATTTTTATTTTTATTTTTTTCTGTTGGAGGGTTGGTTATCCTGTTTATTTCCTTCTTCCTCTAGTGTTATACTTAAAATGCTTTACTAAGCAGAAAGTTTAAACATTTTTACTGTGTTGTGCTTTGCTTTTGTTATTAGAATTTCACTTAATTATATGTGGCAATTACTTTTTACATTTTCCAGCTGCAGTTTGTGTTTCCTGCACAGATTGTAACAATTTTGGTATTCCATGCTATGCATTTCCTTCAACTTGTTTCTGTTTTCTATGCATTTTTTGCGAACATTGCATCTTTATCGTTGCCTCTCAACGTAATTATCCTTGGAAGCTGCTTAGGCCACACTCTTCACATGATAAATTTCACTGTGAAAACTTTTACACTAAAGTAAGTGCAAATAGAAGTTTGAGTTCCATCATTTCAGTCCACTTTTAGATAAGTACATTGTAAGCAGCTCAGTTCCATTAAAGTTTTTATGGTTACTTTCTATCCTAGTATTTTGTTTGGTACGGTTTTGCTTGCAGTTTCGTTTGAAAATAGTTTTTTAAATCATTAGTAGCATAAATCTTTAAGTTCCAATCAGTTTTTTAATGTATGTTGTATATCTTGATATTCAAAATGACTTATTGACACTGAAAATAGAAAATTTTATTATTTTAAAGTTATAAAAATAATGTTAAATATAGATTTAAATTTAGTAAATACATTATTAAAATATATGGAAAAATAAAATAAATAGAAAATACTAAACAATTTTATTTAAAATGATTAAAACTATTTTACCAGAGTAGAAGTAAATAATAAATAAATAATAGAAGTAAAAAATTACAATAACAACAAAAAACATTTTTTTTTTAATTTCTAATTAAATTTATTTAAAATCAATTAAAACATTGAAACTTTATTAACCAGAGAAGCAGTAAAATGTAAAGAATTGCAATAATAACAAAAACCAAATATATTCTGTTCAATTGGATATCATATTATCGAAAGAATATTAGATATATATTTCAATATTTTTTTCCAACATCAAATTTTATTTAACAACACGAAATATTTATTGTTTTTTAATAGCAAAACATATTTATATCATAAAAAATATATTTTAATTTTTTTTTTTTTTTGACAACAATAAACAAAAGGTCGTGGTTAAAATAATTTTAAATTTATTATTATTAATATCAATTATTTAATTAACAAATTTAAACTATATGATTAAAATAATTTCACAAACTTTAACCTTTTAGGATCGTTATGGCACCTGGAATTCTGTGGTGCATAGCTAATTCCAAAAAATTAAATTGTGCGAGTGAAATAATGCTACAAAATTAACCCTTTGAAGACAGCAATTTCATTTCTGGACCAAAAAAAATTAAATTCGAATTTTACAAATCAAAAATTTCACAAACTAAACCATTTTAAGATAGCTAATTTATCTCTGATCCAAAAAAAGCAAATTCAAATTATATCAGTGAAACAATATTACGAGCTTAACCCTTCGAGAACAGCTATTTCATCGGTGATCTAAAAAATATAAAATGCTCTTTACTATCAGCGAAATTTACAGCTTCAAACCTCAATGTCTGAAAAACTATTTCAGATATTAAAGAAAATGCTATTAAAGAAAATGTCCTACAATAAGTAACATAAACTACATTCTTTATATTATCTGGATGCTCCAAAAATATAAGTAAAGCTATTTTTAAAATTTTTAAAGCAATAGGTCGTTCGTATGAGGTTGTCTCAAAAGTTGCACATCAAGAACAATGTATAATCTACAAGGAGCTAACGCAACAAATGAATGATATGCAACGTTTCGTCGTACATCTTGAAGACAATCCTTAATGGTTTATAAATAAATTAATATATATTTGGTATTAAAGTTAATTTCACTTTAAATATCAAATAGAAATATCAAATAGAAATATCAAATATATTTCAACGTTTTAAAGTTTAGTTAACTTGTGCCCCAAATATAATAGGATTAGTTTGCATTTACAAATTGCAAACATTTACTTGACATATTTTGTATCTTTAATGGAAATATTTTTAGCCAAAACTGTAAACGTTAACTACGTAAACTTCAATTTAAAATGTTCTTTCATTTTAATTTGATTTCTCTGAATATTATGCTTTACTACACTCAACAAGTACTGCAAGCAAATACAAAACATCTCAACGCAAGCTGAAGCATACTTTTATGCGCACTGTGGTGAATTTTAATGTTTATAAACATTTTATATACAGATTTTAAAAAGATTTTAAATTCTATCAATATAAGCTCCAAATAAAAGAACAACTTATGCTTGGATTGAAAGAAAAAATAATTTTATCATTGTACATTACATATTATATATATGTTAAATATATATTTGTATCATATTAATACATGCACACTCTAATTAATTAACAAAATTATTATTTTCATTAAATTAATTAAAAATGAAGGTATTTGAATGCATTAAGTTAAAAGAACACTGAATAAACATTGACAAATGTACATTTATTATTATTACATTACATTATTTTTAATTATCTGGCTTAAATCTGGGATGAGTGGAAGATTTAAAGCCGGCAACTTTTCAATAGCAGAGTTATTAGTTGGTTGCACTTAATTATGCCATTAAATCTGGGATAGGTGGAATATTTAAAGCCGACAACTTTTAAATAATATTCCCAATAGATGTTGGTCTTCATATGAAAGGTTGTATGTCTTCTAAGTGGTTAGACTAAGTTATTCCATCAAAGATCTGCTAAGGTCACGTTGCCTGGCTTCACCATAAACCGAACCCTCTACCATATTCCACATTTAACTATAATTCCTGATATGCAACACTTTTAAAACAAGTATATCCAATTTCATTTTCAATAAATTTTTTTAGATCTAAAACACTTTAAGTGCGGTACACTTTCATCCCTTCTCGCACAAATATTATTGTAACATTTTTGCAATTTCACTTCCAATTTAAACACAATTTAAGTAATCGCATAAAATCGAATTCCATAAATTTTTTGTTCAATCAATTCAGCTTACGAGGAAAAATCCAAGACCACAAAATATCTCGTCTGCCGGCAATTTGAACATAAAATTGTTGGCAAACAGAGGACTTTATGGAACGAAATGCATTGCACTTCATGCCATTAAACTAAGTTCAGTTATAGTTTTTTTTTTCTTACTGAAAACGTAGGCATATATGAGTGAGCATAGATGAAAGTGTACTACATAAGCATAGGGATTTGTTTTCAATTAAAATCTCAGCCTGAAAAAATTTCTTGATAGTATTCTGAGGTGTACGTAGACGTTGATATCAATCAGAATTAATTGAATGATGTGAAAGACTGGTAGCAGTTTATGATTTAATTGAGTTTTTGTTGTCATCATCTTTTGAGAATTGAGATTGGATGACAAGTGTGGTGTAGCATTAAGGTCTTTCTAATATTGTGGACGAATCCAAAGATTTGGTTTCAGTTTAATAGACATTAAATAAGAAAGGGACAATGTTGATGAGAAAAGGAGTTTCGTTTTGAAAGTTATTTTTTTTAATTAAACAGAATACACTTTTATGTATTTTAAATTAACATCAAAAAACTGTGAGCTCAATTAGTAGTAAATGGATATTAAGACTTTAAACAAAGATTAAAATAAAACTTATATTGGAGATTTTGATTTAAAAGAATACAGAGTGGTTTATGAATTGAAAGCACCTGCTGCGTAAAAATAACTTTACCTCGAAAATAGACAGCCAATGTGGCACAATGGTCACATCTGTGACAAAAAGCCGAAGGCAGTAAATATGAAATCTTGAAATATCCTCAATTTACGAAGTGTTGGCTAATCGAGACCACACACTACCAGATACTAGATAAGATTTCTCAAATAAATATATTGCTCAAGATGTGTGTGTCATTAGAGAATTTTATAAGGTACGAGTAGTTTAAGGTAAAATATAAAAATAGAATTATTCTTCAAAAAATGCTCCTCCTTCGGCAGCAAAAAAAAAATAATGAGAGAATATTAGACCTCTAAACGAAAATTCCTATTCTTCAGAAAATAAAATTCAACTTCATTGTTATAAAAAAACTTCTTTAAGAAAATAATCATGAAAGAAATATTAGCATTTTCAGCCAAAATTCTTTGAAAGAATATTTTTCAGACCAAGTATCGCAATGAATTGTGAATTAGAATATTCTACATAATTTAATTTAATGTAAAACAATAATAACCATATTATAGAAAAGAAAAGGTATAAATGAAATATCAGCCTTTTGAAGAAAAAAAGCTTGGAAAAAATATTTTTAAAAAATAATTAAAAACAACCAGAACAGCTGGTTAATCCCAATAAATTTTATATAAAAATATTCATCAGAAATGATTCTATTATTCAATATTTTTATAAATTTATGAAAACAACATTGTAAGAAAAAATTATTAACGATATATTAGCAAGGTGAACGATTGAGTCTCAACTATCCCCAATCCATTCTTACTTCTAAACAATATCCTCACATCTCTCACTATTATTACCATTAAACCATTATCATAACCATTAAATCTCAGCCACACCTAAACCATCTCCTCCTATTTTACACTACCATTACCATTATTCATATGCTAGCCTATGTTACGAGATATATTTATATTTTCTGCTTATAGATTCCTGCAGGCTACAATAACAATATTACCGAACTTAATTGCATTTTATACTATTATCACCTTCACAGTATGATATGAAGCATATGAGTGGTTTTTTTTTACCCTTTTTTGTGTCTAGATAGTATGCTATTTGATTTGTTTAGAATTAAGTACCTCCTTTGCATATCGCATATACTCTTGAACTTGCTAGAAGTCAGTTTGGTTGTTTTCTTCTCACTCACAAAGTTAAGCCCACTTACGCTGAAATAATGGCCCGTTATAGCACTACAGGATTAGCACAGACTAGAGACCAGCGTACATGCAACGCAGAAGACATAACTCCCCCATTAAGTAA